GCTCTTGCTGTTGGCCCAGAGTGGATCTACTTCTTTCTACCACATTCCCCAACCGAAGACTGCATATACTCAGCTCAGAGCAGTAAGATGGTGGGGGAGGGCCAGCCCACGCCCAGCCCCATCAATCTTGGTGGCATGGACTCCCTCCTAGAGCTTTCTCAAGAGGCCGCACTCCCTGCTGCCACGGGGCAAGAATCCAGGAGGACCCCACTCAAAGGGGAGACAGAGGCAACGCTCCCCACATTAGGAAGCCCTTCTTCCTCAGAGCCGCGTGGACAATCGCAGAGAAAAACCAGGACATTTCCCCCCTACCAGGATATTTTGTATGCTTTGCACTTGCTGCTGTGTTTCCTTCATCTAAAAGCTCTAAAATTTCAAATAAAAAGGTACAATGAAAGCAGCAGCAGGATAAATAGCCCCAGTGATCTGAGCCGAAACCCTGGAAGCTTTATTCACATCTTTAGAAAAACTCTGAAGGCTCCTAGTAGCAGCTGCAGTACAAAGCCTCACACTTTAATTCTAAGGCTGCCAGAAATAGGTCTGTCAGGCCTGAAATATCACTGCATTTCATTACTCTTAAATGTGCATTACCATCTCTGCCTCATTACCAGCTGGGGGGGGGGGGGGGGGTATTCTCCAGACCAGCTCCAGAGAGAACCTGGGGCCTGTGGGGAAGGGGAGAGTGCTGAGGTGGGCCAGAACATGGGGATGGGAGGGGAGACGGGAAAGCTCACCAGGACGGGGACTAGAGGGAGGCCCACAGAAGTGGGGGACCCTGTTATTAGCATGTCCCCAACAGGCAGGCACTCAGGAGAGTCTGATGTCACCAGCTTGGGCGGTGAAGCCAGGAGGAGACGGGGGAAGAGGCAGGACGGCTGAGGTGGCGGTGAGGACAGTCCAGGAGCAAAGAATGGGGCCTGAAGAAGCCGTGGCTAAAGGGCATGGAGGCTTTCATTGCCTGGCGTCAGGTAGGAACCAGTCAAAGGCAAATTAGGCCGGCAAGACCTGGGGAGTCTAGAATCACAGGCACAAAGCAGCCAGTGAAAAATCCTGGAGGGAGCCGGTGCTGGAGGGTTGGAAGTTTGGAGCCCGGAGCAATCTGCATGTTTATAATAAAACTGACACTCAGGGCAGCGCTGAATAATTCAGTAGGCGCTGTGATCTCCTTACAGTGCGTGTCCCTGGGGTACAAAGGGAAGGGGCTGGCTCGCCCAGGCCTGCTGCCTTCGCCTGGCTCTCTGAAAGGGCGTGACAGATGGGCCAGTGCTGGCCACCACCCAGTCACGCTTTGCACGGTGATTGGTTTTCAAAGGAGGACAGGGTTTGTGAATGGAGCCAGCTTGTTGCTTGCTGCCTTCAAATGGACGCTGCTGGGTCGCGTGGCCAGCTTGGGCCCCCTTGTGAATGGGGCATCGCCAGTGGGTGGTGAACAAGCCAGAGGTGACTCCCCATTCCCTCCCCCTGTCACTGCCGAGGCTGAGGCGAGGGGAAGGGGGAAAAGTGCCCCTGACCCTTCTCTCTGCTGACAGGCTTAACCCTCCGTTAAACCATCCTCCTCTGTGCTAGCCCTGTTACCAGTTAGAATCAAATTTGGCTGCATAAACAAAAAAAACAAAAAAAAAAAAAAATTAAAACAAGATGGAAGTTTATTCTTCTCTCGCCTAAAGAAATCTGAAGATAATCAGCACAGACCTAGTTTGTGGGTTCCAAAACCATCAGAGACCCAGGCCTCTTTCATCTCGCTACTCTGCCATCCTTAGTCCTTACACGCCACTCCTGGCCCAACATGGCTGCTCACACTCCAGCATCATGTCCACATTCCAGCCATCAGGAAAAAAGATGGGAAGAAGGAGCCCGGGGAATATGCCAGCCATCTTTTGCAATTTCCCTGAAGCTGCCACACCAAAGCTCACGCTTAACAGACCATGACTTAGTTAGATGGTTACACCTAGGTGCAAGAGAGGCTGGGAAATGTATCGTTTGCTTTCTATGGCCATGTGTTTGTCGGCAGACTGTTCTCCACGGTTCTATTCCATTTCTTTATGTCTTAGAAGTGAAACACTGACTGTCCTTTGTTCCCGACTATCATTTCCAGGATAGTGAACACCCATAGAAGGTATATAGTGCCTTCCTCCAGAGCAAAGGACAGGCATGCTGCCCATTCTAAAAGATTTCATATCCCCAAGTTTGCCTTCCTCTCCTGAAATGCAACCCACGTGTGTCCAGGCATCACCTGGCCCTCTTTGCGAAGCCCTGTGGGAATTGAGGCTGACCCTGTTCTACTGCTATTGCTGTGAACAATAACATGTCCTCATCTCTGACCCAGGAGCCTCAGCTCCTGGGTCATATATATGTGGAGATATACATGTATGTATACACACACACACACACACACACACACACACACACACACACACCTGCCAGCAGCTATGACATGGGCCAATTTGTTAGCTTATAAATAGGATAAAATTGCAGATATTCATAATTTTTGACAGTCCCCAGCTAAGAATCAAGGTTTCTGCAGGGATGGTTACTAAAACTCTGCCACAAGTCCTTTCCTAGCTACTTGAACTGTCCACATAGGTGCTTGGTTTTGTTTTGTTTTTAAGTATTTATTTAAGTAATCTCTATACCCATTGTGGGGTTTGAACTCACAACCCCGAGACCAAGAGTCACATGCTGCTCTTTACTGAGCCAGCCAAGCACCCCCACAGTGGTGTTTTCAGATGCCTCTGGCCCTTCCACAACCAGAGGGAGCAGTCTTCAGGTGAACTTCAGCCACTTCCAGAATTCCAGCAGCTCCTGAAATGCCCAAAGACAGGGGAGCCACTGCACCTGCTAACCTCCTCAGCTCTGAGTGTTCACTCGGGGCCCCGTGGACCACCTGGTCCCATCTAGTCAGTGCCCAGATTAGGGGAGGGTGCTGAGGCCTCCTCTGGCTTCTGAATCCGGAATGACTCGGTTCCCCAAACCAAACCACTCCCCTTCTCATTCCCCACCCCATCTTCTCCAGACCCTCTCCTCCCCACTCCCCACTTCTCCACCAATGTCTCCCAAGCCAGTTCCCCCTGGAAATACAACCCTCACTTGCCTGTTCTGCAACTGCCTTCCTGCCCTAAGACCGTCCTCTGGGTGAGCAGGCCGGGGCCCAGCCACACCACGTGCGCAATACCCATCCTCGCCCCTTCTCAGGATGCTCATACGTGTGTAGAGAAAACAACTCTAGCTCACTCCACTTCCCCCTCAGTCTCTCTCCTCTTCATCCTCCAAATCAGAGCTCCAAAGTCACCCTATCTCCTCTTACCCGTGACCCCACTCCACTATCCAATCACCAGGCCCTGCCTCTGAGTTTCTCTGGTGTCTGTCCCCTCTGCCCCAACCCCATCGCCCTGTTTCAGACCCCATTACTTCTCGCCCCGGAGCCCAGGCTCCCCCATCGGCTGAACACAGTTTAAACTCCTTTGTGTGGAACCTAAGACCTGACCAGTCTACTTATCCGGCACCGTCTCCCTCACACCATCTCCCGCACGCCCCCAAGTCCCAGCCACACTGGGCCACCCTCCAGTTCCCCTAAATGCTCTGCTCTCAGATGTGCCTGCACTTTCACACCTGGTTTCCCTTCTGCTGGGAGAGCCCTCCTTCTCTCTTCTCCCTGCTCCCTTCCTGGGCACTTACCACTTCCTATCCATCTTTCAAGACCCAACTCAAGCATGACTTCAGGAGCGGTCCCAATGTTCCTCCACAGCCCAAACAAGCGGGCTCTGCCCCTTTGTGCTGCCACACAAGTGTGTACCCACATTATCTCTATTAAAGGCTGTCCCCTGATTATTCGTTCACATTACCTGCCTCTTCCTCCACACGGTAAGACCTTGGAGAGCAAGGATCAGAATTGTTCGTCTTTGTGACCCAAACAGGCTCAATAAATCCTCGCCAATTGAATAAGCAGGCTGTCCCTTACTTCACTCATCTCCACTCAATCCCAAGGCGAGCTCAATGGTGCGCTGTGAGCAAGTAACATCGCCCGAAATAGAAGTTGCTTCCCTGAGGATTTCAGGTTGGAGGATGATTCCAGAATGGAGTAAACAGAGAGTGAGGCAGGGGAGACGTGAATGGGGTTTGTCCCTTATGAAGATGAAGGAATGGGTGCCAGGTGATGAGGGGCACAGAGAAGAGTCAGGTCCCAAAGGAAATGCAGACCTGGGTCAGATCACCCGCAACGTCATATCCATCCCATTTCCAGTATAGGCATAGGGGGGGTACCAGGGCAGAGAGGGGAGACCCAGTGTCGGCCTCGGGGTCTGGATTCGTACCAGATGCTACCAGAACCAGTGAGCAGACCCAGGAGCGATCCCTTGATATCACTCTCAGGAGATCCAGGGCTCAAGGTGTTTCCCAGGCCCCCAGGACAGGAAGCTCAGTCTAGTGCCAGGGGCACCGCCTCCTGCGTCACTGCCAATGACAGAGACTTTACACAGTGAGAGCTGGATCACATATTAAAAGGCTTCCAGCCCTAAATGCAAGGAGATATCCCAGATCGGTCTCGGAACGGAAAAAAAGATACGAGTGGAAAAACAGGAAATCCAAATAAAGGGTGTCGTTTGGTTAATAGTATTGCACCAATGTTATTTCTCCATTTTGACAAATGTACCACAGTGACGTGACCTAAGATATTAACTTTGGGGGAAGCTGGGTGAGGAGTATGTGGAGACTCTATACTGTGTTTTCAACTCTTCTGTAAGTCTAAAATTATTCCAAATTAACTAAAAGAAAACACACAGAGCCTTTAAAACCTTTAGCTCAAGATTTAAAAGGCAGGAAGAGAAGGAAAGCGTAAGTTTAAAAGTAAGGTAAAAGCCGCAGTAAACAAATGGCCAAATCCCTGCCCTCCTGGAGTTTATATTTTAGTGGGTAGACAGCTTGATATTATCTAATCCCACTCCACCCTCCTGGCCCCAGCACTCAGCTCCTGAGTGGAGCAAGTGCGGCCAGTTCCCGGGCCCATGAGGGTGCAGGAAGGTCAGGAGACCTGAGGAGGCTCCAGCGAAGGTGCTCCCCGTTGGCCTGACTCCTTCTTGGCTCCTGACTAGACATGGAACTACATGCCTGGGCTTTCCAGTTCCTGAAATAAGGGAAAGAGTAAGAAATCAACTTTATCCCTCCAGAGATACGTTGAAGTTCACTAGGCATGAGAGTGTATTTCAAGTGCCTGTATTAATATGATTGCTGTAAATATTTACATTCCGGCCAAGAACTGGGTTAGGAGCTCTCTTCTGTAGTTACTACAAACCCTCCTCCTTCCGCCGTCAAAGAATCCTCAGAATCCTGGAGCAGAACATCGAAGCAAACTTTGCATGCTCACCCCGCGCGGGCCACCAGACCGGGCGGGCAGCGGGGACCGCCAGCTCCACGATCAAGGCCAGGGTCAGGCCCACTCCCCCACCGGGCGCTCGGGCAATCCGGCCACGGCCGCGGGGAGCTCGGCGCGTCACCCCGGCCTCGCCCCCCGCCCCGCGGCGGCCTCGGCTCCCAGGGCAGGGAATCGAGGCTGCGCTGCGCCGCGCTGCGTTCGCACCCGACCCGTGCGCTTGGGGTGCCGCCGGAGGAACCGAGGCCCGGGCCGCGCCCCTCCTGGCCCCGGCCCAGCCGCCCTCGGAGGGAAAGTTGTTGCTCAACCCTGAGGAATGCGGAGCCACAGCGGCGGCGGGAGGAAGCGGCGGGAGATTACGACGACAGCCGCCGGGGACCGCGCCGGGGCGGCGCGCGGCGAACTTCGCCCGAACATAAACAGCGGCCCAGGCCCGGGAAGCGGCGCCGCCCGAGGCTCCCGCGGACCCGCAGCCTGGAGGTGACAACCACGCGGGGAGGGGGGGGGGGAAGACGGCCCAAGCCAGCACCCCCCCGCCCGGCCGTTCGGGAATGCGGGGCAGAGGCAGGGCCCAAGGACCAGGCAAGAACCGCCCACCGAAAACTCCCAGGCGGCAGGGATTTTTGTCTTTTCTGTTCACGATTAATCTCCCACGCCAAAGAGTGCCTTGTGAACATAGTAGGCCCTCAACAAACGTTTCCGAAAAGAGCGGCCTAACCCCACCCCCACCCCTGGCCTCAGTTTCCTCCCAGGTACAAGGAAAGGTTTGATCTCCGAGGCCCCTGGCAACTCTGAAACTCTAGGATGCTGAGATTAAATCCCATGTGTACTGCTGTGGTTTTGCTTTTAGTTTTTCAGGGACATTTTTAGTGCTACCCTTTATGATGTGCCAGGAGTGAATTTGACACCAGATGGCTTTTTTTTTTTTTTTTTAAATAAGAAAGAAGACAAAGGGAGGGAGAAAAATATTTTCCAACTGGCAGTGCTGACAGCATTTTGGAAGAGAATCCAGGGAGGCAAAGAGGAGCTGTTTCAGCTTGATTTTTTCCTCCTCCGGCACACTCTGCCCCCCTGGCCTCCACCATAAATGGGGTAGATCATACTGGAGCTTTTTATAGACAGGCAAAGGGAACGTCATCACAGGAAACTCCACCCCGACTTGGGAGTTGCTTTGTCCTCCCTGGCTCTCAGGGAGGACTGGCCCCAGAGCCACGGGGTTATGGATTGCAGCTATAGGGAGGCTCTGACTAAAGGCGGACTCTGGTGTTAATTAGAAGAAGAGACAGACACCTGGCAAATCAAAAGTTAGCGCTCCCTGCCTGGGGAACGTGAGGGAAAAAATAGCCAAAATGGCAGTGTCTTTCCCGGAATTCCTCTTCTCTTGGATCCCAAAGCCCTCTCTTCGCGTTGCTCAGAATGGCCTCTAGCTCAGTTCTTAATGTTGTGGCAAGAAGGGAAATTCCTAGAATAAGCCAATTTGGCAGCGAGCACAATGGCGTCAAGTCGGGATGCTTCAGTCAGACTGCTGGGGTTCACATCTTGGCTGCATCACTTACTAGTTGTTTGACCAGGACAGGTGACTCTACCTCTCTGTAAAGTGGAATAAAGTCCTCACATTGTAGGGCTGTTGTGTGGATATAATCAGATAATACAAGAAAAATGCTAGTGGTCTGCCTCTTCGACATACCGATATGGTAAGCAGTCAACATTTTCCTTATTTGTTCAGCTACAGGACCCCAAAACTAGGACCTTGTGCCGGGTAAACCCACTGTGGCAATGTCAAGTCTAGGCAAAGGAGTCCTAGTCCAGCTGACTGGCCCTCCCTCCTCCTCCTTCACATCCCCAGGAGACTGGAGGAAGGCATCACAGAGTGATGTGTCGGGCTCTAACTTGATGAATTACTCTTAAAGGGGCCTGGGAGGTTCAGTAAGACACAGGCGACCCTTAGCCCTAGGGGAGAAGGGACCCGTGGGCCAGGAGAGGGCTGTTGGTGCTAGGTTGGGAGGTTGTGACCAATGCAGTGAGAATGGCTTGTAATGGCCACCCATGGTCTCTAACCCTGTGGGGTGTCCTTGGGTTTTTTTGCGGATAATTGTTTCAGATGCAGTACTCTTGAATCCTTGACCAGCAAGCTCCTTGAGGTCGGGTCTTATCTTTGTATCCACCCTACACAAACTCTGAGCAGAAGCCACACAAAAAGCCAACACTCTGGAGGTGCTTACTGATTTGGTTGAGCTGGTTTTTTATGGACCGAATGTTTGTGTCCCCACAAGATTCGTCTGTTGAGATCCTAACCCCCAAGGTGATGGTATCAGGAAGTTGGGCCTTTGGGAGAAGTGATGAGGCCATGAGGCCTCATGAATGGAATGGAATGCTCTTATAAAAGAGACCCCAGAGCTCTCTTGTTCCTTCTTCCATGTGAGGACACGGCCAGAAGACAGCCATCTATGAACCAGGAAGCAAGACCTCACGAGACACTGAAGCTGCCAGCACCTTGATCTTGGACTTCCCAGCCTGCAGAACTGTGAGAAATATATTTCTCACCTAGTCTGTGGCATTCTGTTATAGCAGCCCACATCAAGACATGTTAAAACAGGGGAACAGGTTGGAACTCCAGACTGGATGGGCAAGGGGAGACAGGAAGTAGCTGGGCACTCAGACACCAGAGGGTCATCTGCTGGCCCCAAGTGTCTTTCCTTCAACCCACAGGCTCTCCCTCCAAATACTCCATTCAAACTCTTCCAGCCTCTAGAAAGTCAATGACATTTAGCCTGTCCTGCCAGAGGGAGGTCTCCAGCTACTCTGTCACCCCTGGCCTGCCTGAGCCTCCAAGGCCAGCTTTGTTACCACCTCTTTCCCTTTCTGGAATGAGCACTGGACTCCCAGCCAGGACAGAGCCAACTTCTGCCCTGAGACATTTTGGGGGAATCTCCATGTTGTTATTCACATGGCTGGCTCATTCTCCCTTTGGGTCTCTCAGAGGGGACTTCCTTGACTACCGTCTATCAAAATTAACCACTCCCCTAAAATGACCTTCCATGATCTTACCCTGTTTATTTTGTTACTTGCACGCTCAATGTCTCCCCAACCCAGCCAGACTGAAAGTTCCAGGGAGGAGGGATCTTGTCTTCTGTCATCATTATATCTTCGCCCCCTTCACAGTGCCTGGTATACAGCAAGTGTCTACTTAATGAGTGGTGAGCTCCTCCCCGAGTTTTCCCCTTCTCGCTAGCATTTTCAGTCAGTTATTATCTATGAGGTAATTCTTGTGTCTCCAAAAGATGCATCAGCCTCCTTTATTTTGAAATCTTATTAATGCTACCCTTTCAGCCATCAGCTTATTTTCCCCTCCATCGCCCCACCAAACACCCACGGAAGATACTTGGCATTTATGTGATAGTTTCAACCTCTTGGTTGAAAGCAATAGAAAACCAACTAAATGTGGCTTAAACAATCAGCAAGTATATCATTTTTTTTTTAATTTTTTAAAATGTATATTTATTTTTGAGAGAGAGAGACACAGAACCTGAAGCAGACTCCAGACTCTGAGCTGTCAGCACAGAGCCCGACACGGGGCTCGAATCCACAAACCGTGAGATGGTGACCTGCGCTGAAGTCGGAGGCTTAATGGACTGAGCCACCCAGGCGCCCCAGTATATCATTTTTCAGAGGCAAAGAGGGTTAATTCCGCCTTCAATAAAGTCGAGGCTCCACTCAAACTTCCAGGCAGCTTGTGACTGTGTCAGGATCCCTGGCCTAGTGGGCTTCCCCCGTGTCTCATTGGCTAGAGTAGCCTCACATGTCTGGGCCTGAACCAGTTGCTGGCCAAGAGGCAGAAACACCCTGACTGGCTGCTTAGACTTATCAGCATTCCTCTCCTGTGGCCTGGATAGAGGACAGGTACTTTCAGGAATAAAATCAAAGCGTACCAGCACAGGACAAAAGGCAGGGAGTGCCTTCGCATCCATGAGCTGTCTGATAACCTTCCAATCAATTGTTTTCCTGCTTAAGTTAGCCAGCGTTAGTTTCTGCGGCCTGTAACCACAGAATTCTGGGGCAGCTGCAGATCTGGGGTTATGCAGTGAGGAGTGACAGGAGCAGCAAGCACGGCTAGGACAGCACATGTCCATGAGATGGAAGATGTGAAACAGCCCTAAAACCCGAGAAAACGTCTGGTGGGTTTTGAAAGCTAGGTCGTCAGAGCTCAGAGCCAGAGGCTGTATGTTTCAGGCGACCTCACTCTCACTGTACCCCGAGGCTCTGTGACCTGGGGAAGGTGCTTCAGTACCTTCAGTAGTTCAGTGAAGCACCCTCCCTTTTAAAGTGAGCACCCTCCCTTTTAAAAAACTTTTTTTTTTTAATGTTTATTTATTTTCAAGACAGGGAGAGAGACAGAGTGTAAAGCGGGGGAGAGCCAGGGAGAGAGAGGGAGACACAGAATCCGAAGCAGGCTCCAGACTCTGAGCTGTCAGCACAGAGCCCGACGCGGGGTGTCGAACTCACGAACCACGAGATCATGACCTGAGCCAAAGTCGGACGCTCAACCGACTGAGCCACCCAGGCGCCCTGACCACCCTCCCTTTTTAAAATTCTATCCTTCCTTGGTGTGCAGGGGGCCATGCATCTAGATGACCGGCCTCTCCCACCCGTTGCCTTCCCCTCAGAAGACGAGCGAGTGCACTGCCCTTTCCCCCACCTCCTCTTTCACTCTCTGCGCAGACATGGCAGACAGACATGCTGCTCTGTGTTTCTGTTCTTGAGCAGCAATCCCCCCTCTGGACATAAGACTCCTTCATCACTCAGACCTGCCCCACCCTCCAATCTGAGAGTCAGACCTTCCTGCTGGGACCTTAAAACTCCTTCCCTTCCTCCTGTCCATTCCCTCCTCCCACCGTCCCCACCACTGAGCCTGCTTTGAAGAACTTGGTCCAGTTCCTGGCACACAACCAACATCTGACTAGTGGTTGTCCATCTCGTCTTATCCTCTTCTGCCTCACGGTGAATAGTCTGCCTCAAAGCCAGCCCCTTTGCTGCCCCTTTATCTGCTTCTAGAATGTCCCCCACCCTTCTCACTCTCTTCTTCTGAGCTGAGGCTTACTCCCCACTGCTCACTACCTCCATCCTTGTTCCATGCTGTTCTCACCACTGATTCTCACTGTCTTACCTCAGCTAGACCTCCCTGGGGCCCAGTAATCCTTGTCATCTCTGGGAGGTTTCCAGTCAAGTTCCTGAAGCAGCTCTCCTAAGCTCCTGAACCTCCCCTCCTCTCCCTGCTCGCCCTTCTACAAATAACCCACACCCTCTTTGTCAGCAGGAGCAAGAGTGTTGGGCACAGACATCACTATTATCTACCTCAAGAAGACACTCAGACTTCTGGTCACAAGATGGCGGAGTAAAGCTCTTTCCATCACCTTTTTCCTTCAAAAATCACCCCCTGGGGCACCTGGGTGGCTCAGTTGATTAAGCCTCCAACTTCAGCTCAGGTCATGATCTCACGGTTCATGGGTTCGAGCCCTGCGTCAGGCTCTGTGCTGACAGCTCAGAGCCTGGAGCCTGCTTCAGATTCAGTGTTTCCTTCTCTCTGTGCCCCTCCCCTGCTGGCTCTCTCTCTCTCCTCTCTCTCTCTCTCTCTCTCTCTCTCTCTCTCTCAAAAATAAACATTTAAAAAAAGTTTTAAGTCTTAAAAAAAAAATCACCCCCCCCCCAAATGACAAGGAGAATAAGAAATAGAAATCCAAACTCCATCTTTAACTAAACTAGGAGACATTTAAAATCCTGGACCACATCATATGAAAACAGTAAGTAGATGGGAAAGTGACAAATGACTAAGAAAGGCAGGCCCAAAACATCCAGAGTCATATACCTATAAGAAGCAAGCCAACTCTTCCCCCAGAACCCTAGAGAAGCTCGGGAATTGGAAGTTGCAGGTAAACTAGACGACAGGGGTCCAAAACCTGGGGGCCTGTTCCAAGATCTATTTAAAGAGCAATTCGATAGTCAGGGAAGTCAGCTGTACCCAACACAACCAAATGACTTATTGTGTCCCCTTCCCCACTCACGCAGGAAACAGGAAGATGGATCCTGGAGATACTGAACTTTCCTGGAGGAGGAGGTGGAGAAGGAGTGGGAACAAACACTGAGCGAAAGTCAGCATTCTGAATTGTGTTCCTCAGCCTGCTCGCCACATGCCGCTCCCCACTTCCAATGCTACACCCAGCTCTAGGACTCTGGGCAGGTGGTGGGCTTCCAGCTGGAGACTAGACTCAAGGACCTTTCCAGAAAAAAACAAGCTTGCGCCATCGATACTGACCTTTGGGGCTCCCCAGTAAAAGAGTCCAGCCAGCCACCTGCCCTGTGGGCCCTACCGTAGCCCTATGGTATGGGGCCCTACTGTAAGCCCACACAGAGCACTTCCAGATCCATCCAGTGCCTCCTTCTCAAATACGAAAGGACGGCCGAGGCAGACCAGACATCTGTGGAAAGGCTCCAGTGAGATACAAATCAAAACAGCAGAAAATGGGAAATCAGAGGAAACTGAGACAATATAGAGAGAAGAACAAATTAATATTCTCGGAGAGAGGGTACTGCACGTATCGAGAGAACCAAGAACAGGAAACCACGCAAAAAAGAAAAGAAGAGAAAAACCAGGGAACATGAAAGCACTCTTGAGAATTAAAAGAAAAGAAAAGGGTTCGTGACAACATACTTAGTAAATGGATTGGAATATAGCATGGAGGAAATCTCCCAGAAAATAGAAAAAAGAGATGGCCAATAAGAGAGAAATAATAAGAAAATCAGAGGATCAATCCAAGAGGTCCAGTATCCAAATGGCAGGAGTTACAGACATTCCAAAGAAATAATAAAGAAATTCCCAGAACTAAAAGGCCTACCCTGTTAAAACAGAGGTTCTTAAACTTTAATATGCACAAAAATACCTGGAGGGATTGTTAAAACCCAGATTATATATATCACATATCATATATAAATATATATTAATATATGATACTAATATAAAATATATAAACTATTCAGCCAATTCAACACCTAGAGAAGGAAATCTTGCCATTTGTGACAACAGGGATGCACTCTGAGAGCATTATGCTAAGTAAAATAAGTCAGACAGAGAAAGACACATACTGTATGATCTCACTTAGATGTGGAATCTAAACAACAAACAAAACACCAAGCTCAGAGACACAGAGAACAGACTGGTGGTTGCCAGAGGCAGGGGGTGGAGGTGAACAAAGTGGGGAAAGGGAGTCAAGAGAGACAAACTTCCATTTGTAAAATAAATAAGTTGCAGGGACACAATGTGCAGCATGGTGACTACAGTTAATAATACTGTATTATATATTCGAAAGCTGCTAAGAGAGTAGATCTTAAGAGTTCACATCATAAGAGGAAAATGTGTAACTATGTAAGGTGGCAAATGTTAACTAGACGTATTGGGGTGATCATTTCGCAGCATATACAAATATCAGATCATTACGTTGTACGCCTGAAACTAATACAATGTTCTATGTCGGTCATCTCTCAATAAAACAACAACAGCACAGATTGCTGGGACCTAACCAGAGTTTCTATTCACTAGATGGGGGATGGGGCTCACAAGGTGCATAGCTAACATGTTCCCTCCCACGTGTGGTATTGATGCTGCTGGTCTGGGGACCACACTTTGAAAACCACTGTTCCATTAAAAAGGCCTATCAAGTGCCATGAAACATGACCCATGTCAATACATCACGATGTTTTCGTTTTTGTTTTTAAGTTTGTTTGTTTATTTGGAGGGAGACAGAAACAGTGTGAGTGGGAGAGGGGCAGAAAAAGAGAGAGAGAGGAAGAGAGAGAATCCCAAGCAGGCTACTCCTGCCAGCACAGAGCCCGAAGTGGGGCCTGAACCCACGAAACCATGAAATCATGACCTGAGCGGAAACCAAGAGCCGGAGGCTTAACCAACTAAGCCACCCAGGTGCCCCTGTGATGTTTTAATGTATCAGGGATAAAAGAGAAAATCTGAGAAGGCAGGGTGGGGGAGGGAGATGAATTCAAAGTCTCAGGAATCAAAATAACCTGAGTCTTCTCAAATGCAACATTTTACTGATTTATTTTTTTAATTCTTTTTCAACTGCAACATTTAGAAACTGCAAGACAAAGGAGCCAGGCCTTCAAAATTCTGATGGAAAACGATTTTCAACCTAAAATTCTATACCCAGCCAAAAATATTAATCAAAAGTGAGGGTGAGTAAAACCATTTGACGTATGCAAAAGGCTCTAAAATGTTATACCTCCCAGGCACTCTCTCAAGAAGCTACTGGAATATCTGGAAGATGTGTTTCATCCAAACAAGGAAGTAAACAGAGAAAGACATTGAGTCCCTGAAAGAGGAAAAGGGCAAAGGGAAGTCCGAGGGTGACAGATGTGCCACAGACCTGGAGAGCAATGCATCCAGAGAGAAGCAGAAGGATGGCGTGCCCCAGGACAAATGTCTCCAAGGAAAAACAAAACAGAACCGGTAAGATTATATGACAGCCTTGGCCATATGCAAAATTGTACTGAGAAGGCGTTTCACAGAACTGTTGAAGGGTGTGGGAAGACAGAGCCAGAGATTCAAAGAAAACCACGCGAAGAAAAAAATGAGGCAATTAACTCCAGGAAAAACAAAAAAGTTGTACAAGAAAGGAAATGTAAACACAGCATACAACAAAAAGTGATATTAGAAGAGGAAATGTAACCAGAATACTTGCCTCAAAAGTAAATAATATCTACAAACTCAATAATGAAATCACTGAACATGGATTTGACCATAAATGATGATATAAACATAAAGGGGGTGGGGTGGGAGTAGGGGAAGAGGAGACTTTAAGAGAATCAAAATCCTCATCTACCAAAACAAGAAGTCAACAAATTAGATAGATGAATCCAGAATGGCAGTGCTTATATTATTTAGAAATAAGGAAGGAAATACCAGAAGAAACAGCTAAAACAGTTGACAGTGGTTGCCCCTAGGCGTAGGATAAAAATTGGGAAAAAGGCCAGGGGACTTCTGTTTTCATTACAGCCCTTTAGAACTATTTGATTTTTGAAGCTATGTGTACGTACTATCTTGATAAAAATAAATATTGATTTCAGAAAGCAACTATAAAAGGAGGGCGTCACATCCTCCCGTACAGTATTCCTGCAGCACCCCGTGTGGACTCCAAGGACCATCTTCGCGGGTGGCATTATTTACCAGCTCAGCCCTCCTCCTCTCCCAGATGCAATCTCTCCATCTCCTCCTGTTCTGTCAGCCATCACCCAAGTGGCTGGCTGTATGCCAACCCTACTTAACTGGCAATTTCCAGAATGTGCCTCTGGGACTTTGCATGCGCTGTGCCTTCTACCTGGAAGGCTATTCTTTCCTTCCCTACTCTCAGCCCAACAGATTAAAGATGGTTTATACTTCAGGCCTCGGTTTAGATAACACTTTCTCTTTAGGGAGCCTCCTCCCCCACCTAATCTGGGTGAAGTGCTCCTCTTCTACACAACCCTGCTCCTGCGATGCTCTCAGCTCCAGAGAATGCCCCTCTCTCGCCTGCCTTTCCCACTGGACTGTAAGCTCTATGGGGACAGGAATCCTGTCTTACTCACAGTAGCGCCAGGACGGATTGCTGATTATGCAAGTCAATGATTTTGCAAATGATTGAATACATGACTCACATTTAGTAAGGGCTCAGTAAATAGTCGAATGAGTGAATTAAGGATTCAAAAAATGCAGCCCTCTCCCTCCACCCAAAATATGCCTCCCTTCTGCCATGTCCACTCTACCATCTACTCTCCTTCCTACAAGGTCATATGTCTCCAGCAGGTTGGCTGTGGCCAGCGCCTCACCTTCCAATCCACTCACTCCCCTCTCAACCTCAAAAGAAGCCAAGGTGCCTTGGTGTGACCAGGGTCAGCTCCAGTACAGGGCTTTCTATCTGAGTTGGCACGAGAATGGAGTGAACAGTTTAGGGACTATCTGCCCAGCCCATAAGGAAAGCCATCCCCTCTTAGTTTCCCTGTCCCGGAACCAAAGGACAGCTCTCAGAGATCTGGAACCCAGGCTAACCAGAGGGAACATGGTGAGCTCTTGACTTCGGCCTGCCTAACAAGGATAGAGAGTGCCCTAAACTCAGCGACTGGCTCGACCCAGCCTTCCTGCCTCCCTGTCCACTTTGCAGGCCAAGAGCTGAGACTCTAGCCCTTTGAGCTGGCTTCCCTTGGCGACTGCCTGCTAGTGTCTTCCAGTAGTAAAGGTATGCGGCCAATGCCTGGGGTGCAGGGAGGGCTGGAGGTAAGAAACCTGAGTGCTCAGTGTGGCCCAGACACACAGTACACGCTGGAGGGTAAAAACCCGCCGTGCATCACTCACCGGGCTCTAGAAGCCAAAGCAAATCTGGCCTACGCTAGGTCCAGGGAGAAGGGAACAGAATCCGCAGCACTGGAAAGCCTCTAGGTCGCCGGGTTAGGGGCGTCCTGCCGCCCCACCCCCACTGCGCCACGTGACCTCAAAGGGCCGCCCGGGGTTTGGAATGTGGCGACCCTAGCTGTGCCCCCAGAGGGGCCGGCCGAAGGGCGGTGGAGGGAGAGGCGGTCTCCGGGCCGGAACGAGTGGAGGGGTGGGGGTGGGGCGCAGGAGGGGCCCCTTCTTTCCTTTCCCCACCGCGCCAGGCGGGCCTGGGGCGGGGGGGGGGGGGGGGGGGCCGAGTCGGGGGAGCAGCGAGGGAAGGAGGAGGTTTGGCTTCGTCTAGGGAACCTGTAAATGCGGGCCGAGAAACTCGATCTGCTTCAGTCCCTTCCCTATTTAGGAGGTCTGGAGCCAGGCGATCCGTGGCTGCTGGGGGCGCAGGTCACGTGGCCACCTAGGACTGAGTGATGGGGAAGGATGGGGGGAGGCTGTGCTCGGGAGGAACCTGGATTGAAGGAGGCGGGTGTCCAGGCTTGGCCGGCCCGCCCCCACCCCAAAGAGTACCATTTGTCTTTATTTTACACTCTTGCACACTGACCGTGGGGTGGGGAGGCCTAGGGTCTTCCCTGCGGCAGGCCCGCCCACCCAACGAGCCCTTTTCCACTGCCTGGGCCAGGTGTGTCTGTCAGTCTTCACCAAGCCTCCAGTTTCCAAAGCCCGGGGCAAATAGGACTCCGAAGTCCTAGGCTCTTGTGCCTGTGCTGGCGGTTAGGCTCCTGGGCTCCACTCCGGGTCCGGGACTCCCACTTCCTGGGTGGTAGAGAAAGCGCCTAGGAGGCTGGCACCCTGCCTCCCCGCCTTCCTGGCTCAGTGCCCCAGGAGATAAGCAGTGCCCAAGGAGGAAGATGCCTACTGGCACTGGTTTGCCACCTAGCTTACTGTGGGCCAGGCTCAGTGAGAGTCATTAGGAGTGTAGAGGGAAAAAAAAAAGACAGTACCTGCCCTCAAGGAACTTATACTGGAGGGGATGGGGGTGGGGGTGGGGGGACAATCCAGGATACCAGAATGGAAATATAGGAGCACAGAGAAGCATCTAGGACAGAACTGGGAGGATTTGGGGAAGCAAGGCATCCAGGCAGAGAGAACTACCCATGCAAAGGTATGGGGCAAAAGGTGTCACAAGTGTTTAGTTCCTCCGGACACAAGCACGGGTGGGTGTGTGGAAGGTGTAGGAGATGGAGTAGGAAAGCCACCAGGAGCCAGATCTTGAAGACCATTTGGAAGTGGCTTGTAGACAGGATAAGATTTGCATCTTCTAGCAGTGCT